GACATATCTAGGCTAGCAATTAAACGCTCAATAACAGAAGTAGGTTATTGCTTCTGGAGATTTTGGTCAGTGGATTCACCCAGACCATAAAGTATTACAGGTATTACCATTACTCTTGGTCACCATGTAGAACTTGATAATAAGATTCTATTGTTAAAGAGGCATAGAACATGGAGAAATCAATCTAGTACTGACCTGGAAGCCTCATCCCTATTTGTTAGCTTTCACAGTGACAGAAGGTGCTATGCTATTCAGGAGACAGGTAATCATCAGTCTTACCCATCTGTGAGCCCTCTATGCTACAATAATGACCACCATGGCAAGACGTACCCACAGATGCAGTAGTGGCACAGGTGTTATGGGAGTAACCAACCACTTTTCTGATTGGATTTGAGGTCCACTTCATAAAATGGAGCTTAAGCCTGACACTGGGGCCAAGAACCCAAGGCCCAGGTATATCATAGGAGCTAGGGAAGAACCTATTAGTATTATTCTACTAAATGAACACAGTATTTAACAAATTCTCAAAATACAAATCCTTATACCCATAGATCAGAACAACTGTCAACTTTCATCAAAGACACTTCTTTTGTAGTAGATAGTGATGAGCCCAGAAACTCACAACTATAGAGAATAAGGTATGGCAGATTACTCAAAACTAAATGAACATCTATATCACACTATCTTTTCCCAAGACTCAGAAATCACTTCAGAATAGGGAGCGCAGTAAGACTTTAAGAAACAGAGGCAGTGGGAGACTACAGATAAATAGTGTTTTCTGGATACAACAGGGCAATTGCACATATGAACAGACAGCAGCTATGACTACACATACAAGATCAAGCCAGACAAAATCACAACATGGATGGGGAAAGTGGGAATACAAAGTCCTGCCCTTGGCTAAAGAGCGAGTAATGAAAAAAATGACTGTGTTGAGAGGAAGAATCAGCTTTATTCAACAATGCGGCCCCTGAGGAGATACCCATGCTCCAGTATATGAAATTATAGTCACGCACACACTGGCTGCATAAAGTGGACTACATGTGTTAGAAAAAAAAACATAAAGAAGAGAATACATGAAACCTGGAAGGAATATTGATGGGGGTAGAGAAGGAGTTGGAGGGAAAGAAAGGTGGACTTGTCCAAAACACATTATATGCGTGTATGAATTCTCCATCAACTTTAAAAAGTGAACTTATAACTCTGCCCGTTGTGAAGGTTTCTTGCTTGAGTCCCATAGAAGTCAATGAGAACTTTCTGGGGTATTAGGATATGCATTTCCATTAGGCATTGTGAGTATTGTCCTGGACATGACTCAAGAGCACATCCTAAGGAACATCACCTTTCGCTTGTCCAGCTACTGTTTAAAATCCCAGGCTTGATCTTTAATTGGAAAACACTTCCAATTAAAAATGTTAAGTAGACAGTGTTTGCAAGAAAATAGAAAATTAATAATTCCATGTTATTTGAATAAGTTGAAAACATTCTTAGTGACATTTTCACAAAAGCTTTGAAATCTCATTTCCTCATGAACTAGGATATTTGCAATGAAAAGTTGTTAGAAACACTGTTCATCTATGGTTAAGAAAAACTCCTGCTCTACAACCACACCTGTACAACTTTTATCAAAGTCTGATATATGTAAATCCCTGCACATCTTAGAAAACAAATACACAAATGGAAAGTTCTAATTTGTTCAACTGATAGATTCACAAAGTCACACTATGCTCTTGTGTACAAAGCAGTTACTAATCACTGTCAATGACTAGAGTGAGCCAACTGAATCAAGTCAAGGGCTTCTTGCCCCTCCACTGTAGATGTCCATGGCTACACTGGCATTGCCTGACTGAGAAAAATCCATGCTCTTTTCCAGCAAAGGTATTCAACATTGTGCCTCAAGCTTTCTGCTCTTTCATACTTGATCACTTGTTCCACATCTAACAGTCATATTAGATCCTTCATTCCCCCAAACTATCCCCTAAGTCTTCAATCACCATATATGAACTTGAATTTTCATGGTAACAGCCCATAGCTTTTCAATACTTTTCTTCCTTCCACAATTGCAAGGAAGCAATCAATTACCTTTCCCAGCTTCTTAGCTCAAGCTAAGGTGAGTCTTAACTTATTTCCAAGGCTAACTCCTCTAATGTGTTACATGCTGCCTCTGTTGGAACTCCTGTTTCGTTCCTAGGAAACCTCTGTTGGTCACCTCTTGTTCTCCAAGTGTCCTGTTATGCTCTGAGAATACAAACATGAGGACAGGACTTGCCTCATAGCAGGTTCCAGGGCAGTGTGGAGAAAGACAATACAGTGTGCACTATGTCATAGGCCTAGGTATATAAAAGGGTCTAGGGGTAAGGAGCTGGAGACAGAGATAGATATCTCTTGGAAATGCTAAGGTTTAAATGCAGATTCATTGGGTGGATGAATAGACTAGAAGGACGCTGGGAAGAAGGGTGGAGTTGCAGGAGCCACAAGCCAGATGCAGAGTGAGCAGGATGGGAAGTACATCCATGAGGTAAATAAGCCTCGGGAAGCACATAGATTAATAGAAATTTGTTAATTAAAGTTATAGGAACTTAGCTAAAAATGAACCTAAACTGTCAGCCTAACATTTATAATTAACATTAAGTCTCTGTGTGGTTATTTGGGGAGCAGCTAGCTGGTGGGACAGAAAAGTTCACCTACAGGATCTCAAAGATAAAAATAAATAGAAAAAAAAAAAAGGATTGAAATCTAGGATTCCCATTCAGGCAATTAAGTAACAGCTACACCATTCCTGATTAATGACTAGTCAGAATCAATCTATGGAATACTCATAATGCTTGCCAGACAACAGCCCATGGGATGTGATAGTCAAAAATGCTGATTTAGGCAGCATGGGAATGCCAGGGAAGTCATAGTTATAAGTGAGGTAACACAGGAAAAGTATGGTCATGTGTGAATGGGTTGGCCATGAATGGGAATTGGAGATGATCTGAACACAACTGAGGCGAGGCTAGAAGAGGAAACAATAGGATCTCATCAAGGAGATGAGAGGAGAGAGCTTCATCAGGTGAAGTGAACGGCTTCCAGGTGCACCAGGGTAAATTCAAGTAGGAACTGAAAAGCATCCTTTGGGATTTAACCAAAAGTTACCCTCTTTGATTTATCCTTTCTTGGCCTCTGACCTGCACGTGCTGTGCCTTTCCATGATTAAATAAATCACACTCAAGAAACATATAAAAGCCAGGCACACGTTTTAAATCCCAACACTTGGGAGGCAGAAACAAGCAAATGTCTGTGAGTTCAAGGCTAGCGTGGTCTACATAATAAATTCCAGGACAGCCAGAGCTACATAGTAAGACCCTGCCTCAAAACAAAACAAAACAAAACAAAAAAACAAAAACAAAAAACAAAAAACAAAAATAACTAACCAACCAAACAAACAAACCCATAGAAACAAAACAAAGAGGAAGGAAAGAGAAATATGAAAAAAAATGATTATCATTTGTGTCCCCCATTGCCTTAATCACCAATCCTGCCATTTCACTACTACTTCCCTGAGATTTTCATCTTAAAATCTGCCACTGACACTTTCCTTCTGCATTTTAGATGCAAACTCCATGACCCTCCCCATCATTACGCTACCTTATCTTTATGTGGGATGGTAATATTTATGGCATCCTTTTTAAAAATCCCCCACTGATTATGCCATCAGGGCTTAGTTCTCTGAAAACCCTTTTATAGTCTCCAAAAGGTTTCTGTTACCTTTAAGCTCTTTAAATAAAAGGACTCCCAACATTTGATATGTGGTTATTCATTTTGTAATACTCACATATCTTCTCCATATGCAAGCTCATGAGTCTCTAATGTATAGAGAGAATTTTAAATGTGATGTTGAGAGTGATTTTTAAGTAAGGAGCTATATCCCAAAGCTCCATGTTCTTAGTCAAGGTTCCTATCTTTGTGATAAAACACCATGACCATAATCTTACAGTTTTTAATCTGTCATCCTGAGAACCTGGAAGCAAGAACTGATACAGAGGCTATGGAGAAGTGGCTTGTTCAGCCTGTGTTCTTATAGCACCTAGGGCCACCAGACCCTCCCACATCAATCAGTCAGCCAAGAAAAAGCACCATGGGCTTGCCTCCAGGCCAGTCTGATGAAGGCATTTTTTTTGACTGGCATTCACATTTCCCAAATGACTCCTTCTTATGTTAAGTTGACATAAAATGAGTTAGTACCCACTGAATTGAACTTGTTCCAAGTAGCTCTGGCTTCCTTTATGTCCTACCTCCTGAACAAGTTCTCACTCCCCTGCCCTGTCACTGACACACCCTTGTCCTTCTTTCATTTCCCCTGGTCCACAGATGTGCAAAACAATTTGAATATAGGGAATCTCTACATGAGACAAAATTACACTGGTTTATTTTCCATTATAAAGTAACACTAGACATCCCTTTTTATCCAGCTCCTGCTTTATGCCAGATGCTATTCTAAGTACATTGAATCCTGTTGTTACTCTGTTTATTATCCTATGAATTTAAAAACAAGTTAGTTTACTTTTCTCAAATTTGCCAAAATATATCATTTTGCATGTCACTTTGAGTTGCATAGTCCATTTTTCTAGCTATAAAATATACTAACCATTGTGTAATAAAGTTAATTTTTTTCCATTAAAACTTTTATTGCCAGGCACTTAACAAATGTTGAAGCATAACTATGACTATGAAAATAATATTCAAAGGTGCAACTAAATCCTGAAATATCTTCTGAGTTATAAGAAAAATTTAAAGCATACTCCATAAAACCTTAGGGCACTCATATGCTTTCGTTCTTTAAAAAATGCTAATGGTATGAATGACATAGGCATCATTTAGAGCGTCACAACAAAACACTGTCATTTTGTAGATTTTTATATGATGCCAATACTCGTGGGCTAGCCCCTCTCTCACAGGAACCCACATGCATTTGCTCTTTATGACTTTTGATGACCAACAGAGTAAACTGTACTTACTTCAAAAATCCAATTTTTGCAGAAACTTGCAGATCAGCAGAACAATTTTCATAGGCACAAAACCTTGCAAAGTTTATCTAGAAATAAAACATTACAACCTTTATTTCAATTTCTATGTATTTAAAGAACAAGGCACCTGGGCTTGACAAAAATAAAAGTTACATATCAAACTATAACTTATGCCTCCCCCAAGGTTCAATCTGAGAACTAGTCAGAAGGGCCAAATATATAGTTTCAGGGCTAAAGACTCTCAATTCCCCTAGTAGATTCCAGGCCTAAATTTGTCAAGTTAAATAAGCTTTGAGAAATTATATTAAAGACACTATGAAGATACTTGGACTATCAACTGGAAAAAACTTTAATCTGCTTCCCCCCCCCCCGACACACACACTTTCTCCTGCTATATTTGTTACACAGAAGTAGAGAATCTACCTTATTTTAGCATGGGATGGGTAGTGAATTATATCCAAGAATATAGCTATATATAGAAATTGGAAGTCATAACTTTGTGGAAACATTGAAAAAAATTAAATGGTAGCTTTTTCAATTTATTAAGCTCTAATTATTTGATAAGGATCCATGCGCACTACAGGGTATGTATATACTAGGGATATACTATGTAAAAGCAAAGAAAGGAAATAACTCAAGTAATAGGAATAAGAGAAGAAGGGGAAAAAGATGCAAATAAAAATCCAGAAAGTCAAAGAAAGAACAATGTACACAAAGTGGGAAGTGAATAATCCATGACATGATAGCATAGACAGCCCACACCTGGGGAAGTTGAAATGTAAATGTTCCCCCAAATGATTAGTCAGTATGATTTTCATCCTGCTGTTCCTAATTGGAGAGCACATGGTTCTAACATTCAGATTAAAAATTGCTAATATTTTCTCCTGTGTGTTTACAGTATTGGCATTTAAATTATTGAAAATATTGGAAAAGAGTCAGTATTGAAAACTGAAGTTCAAAAGAAGAATTTTAAAAAATTCTGACTGACTCACATAACTATTTTCATGTAAGACTGTGGAAATTTGCTCCTAAGTTGTTATGTTCATTTGATCAAGTATTCTAGACTAGATAGCAGTGAGTTTCTGTCTGCCATCAGTCCATGCTTTAATGAGAGCTTTTGAGTATGTTCTAATGCATCCTGTCAAATACATTCATGCTGTTAGACTTAACTGTCTTGACACTGGAACTCCCAGGAACAAAAGTATTATCAGCGAAACTGAAATACTTGAGAACACTTTAGGAAAAAAATAGCAGTTCACTGGCCAGAATGCTGGGTTTGTCTTAAAATGCAGTTGTTACTGAGATGTGGCTAAATACATACAATGCAGTTTTTAAAAGAGAAATTGTATCACATAATAAATGTGTTTATAAACGACAAAACTTCAGCAGTTTAATTGAGCAATATAGAGTGGATCCATGGGCAGGGACATAAGGAGAGAATGTGAGAAATAAACTAGAAAGGAGATCAGTGAGTGCATGAAATGACATTGAATAACTAACCGACAATTCAACCAATGTCCAACATGGTTTCTCTTGAGTAATTCATTTCTTCAAGGAGGAAAAAAACTAACTCACGTTTTACATTAATATTTATACACAGGAAAGTTACTCTTGTGTATAAATGAAAGTTCAAACAGACTCAGTTGAAATCCCAAAGGGACACACACACACACACACACACACACACACACACACACACACACACACACACACACTCGACAGAGACAGAGAGGGAAACAGATATACAGACAGAGAGACTGACACAGACCTATTTTAAATCTATTCTCATCAATAATTAACAATCCACAAAACAATCCAGGAACATTTTAATGAATTATGTAATATTTTAAAATTTTTTCAATTAAGTTACATAATGCTTTAAACACAAGAAAAGACTCATACCGTTTTTCTAATCATGTCTTTTTCTTTTTTCTGCTGGAGGATTGGCTGAAGTGGAGAGAATTCCTCTGTCTTTCTTTTGGTGATCACATCATGCCCAAGGTGGTAAGTGGCCTCAACCTGAATAGGAGTGAGGATGTCTCGCACATCTTTCTAAGAGAATTGAAAACCATATGTACAAATTAAAAAGTAAACATGAATTTAAAAAGATGCAGAAAACTTCATCCTTCTAAAAGTCCAGACACAAATACAAAAACCCATGTTTTAGCAGAACTTCTTTAAAAAGCTTGGAATATGTGTTCTTTTTGCCCTATAGTAATACCTCTGTTGCTTGTGACAGCACAAAGAGTATAAAGTGAAAACTAGTACTATCTGACAATGTTTTCAAAAGTCTGAATTTCAGCACTGTCCCACCCATGCTATTCTTCTATGATTGTTGCAGCTTGGTATTATAATGTAAACATTTTTCATTTACACACTCAGTAAATAATTTCAAAGATCTCCTCAATACTTTTATTCCATTTACTACTTATAGAGAAATAATGTCTCTCAATAAGATTTCCCTAAAGCTCTTAGAAGACTTTGTATTCAGTTTTTTTCATTTAACTTCATGTTTATTACTAAATTTCCTTTTTTGCTGTTTATCATAATGACTTTTCCCCCTTGTATTCTAACATCATGGCTGGTAATATAGGAGAGATTGTTAGCTTTTACTTCTAAGTTTATTGAATTTTCTTATTGTGATGGTTTTGCTGATTTCAGTGTTATTATGATTCACAAACAAAAGTTCATAGGTTTATTTATCAATCATACAGTAGTAGTAACCATTAAGAAATCCATTCTGCTTTGTAAAGAGTTCTTTCATGTATAGTGGCTTTCTGATTTCTACATAACACTTCTGTGTCTATTCTTATTGCGAGGTGGTGAAAAACACACTTTTGAATAATTAGGTTAACATTCATTTTAGTATGTCTCCAATGACACAGCTCATGTGTTTATTTCAATTATCATTTTTTATATTTTAATCTTTATTTCTACAGGCATACAATAGTTTTATCTCTTTTGGGAATATTTTTCATCACTTAGAATGTTTTTATTGTGTTTGCAATTTCTTATTTACTAATATCTTCATCGAAGTTATGACATCTTATTTCAAAATTAATTCCTGACATATGTACAAATTAAAATAATCTAACCAGGTGGAAATAACCTGAAAACTTTCAGGATTCAATTAAATTAGCACTACAATACATCCAAAAGTTGTTTTGGAATCGAGAACACATTCATGGGAGTGAGGTAAGACACAAAGCATGGTGTTGCTTGCTCAAGACTCATAGCAAAAAAATAGAAGACATGAAACACTTGGGCAGGTAGATATCCCTTTCTCCTTGTCTGGAGAGGCTAGTGTGATTTTACTACCAAAGCAACATATAAACATTTATAACAGAAGTCAATTGAACATTACACGATTAAAGACATGTTGACCAGTATATACAAGCATGTTAAGCACAACAAAAGCTAAAATTAAAAATGATCTCAGAATTTAAGAAGGCTTGTTTTAATCAACTAATACAGTCCATGACCAGGACCATGTAGAAAAATTCATGTGTAGTCTTCATTTTTCTTGGCATAGAATTGTTACTATATCTAGAAAATAATTTTAAGAATGGAACACAGACTTTGGTTTCTGTCATATGAACCATTTAATTGTCAAGCTCAGACTGACTCAAACTTCCTATGTCCTTTTCAACTTGCAAGTCCATTTTAATAAATGCATTCAGCAAATTCTTTCTCAACTATTCAAGAACTCAATTATTTTCACCCCAGACAGACAGATTTTGTTTTTACCCTGCCACATCCTCAAGTGGCTCCAAGGATAGACAGAGTGCGTATACTGAGGGAATGAAGAACGCACAGACACACAGCACACATACAGAAACTCTGGCATCAGGTGGGCTATGCACTCTGATGGAGTGGTGCCAACCATACAGTAACTGGGAACCTCCAGGCATTTATCATGTTCAGCACAGAGGTAGCTAGTCTCAGTAATAAGTATCTATATATCAGCAGTTTCAGGCTATGAACAGCCATGAGGAGGAAGATACTTTGCTAATTTTTATACACATAGGTGTAACGTGAGGTTTTCTTGCCCCAGCTAGGTCCAGCTGCCCTTCTCTACCCTAAATGAACATGGAAGACTTATATTAGTTATAAAGCTGTTGGCCACTGGCTATGGTTTCTTATTAGCTAGCTATGACTTAATTATTAATCCATTTCTATAAATCTAAGCATTTCCACTTGGTCTTCTCTTACTGGAAGAAAGGTCTGGGCCTCTTACTCTGTTGGGGTCTACATTGCATCTGCTCAGCATCTCCATAGAGAAGAGAGGAGAACAAAGAGATTTTCTGCTTGTCCCTGCTTATATATTCATTATGCCCTGCTATGTGTCACTTCCTGCCTGGATCACATGGTGACTTCTCTTTATTACATTTCCCAGAATTCTCCTTGTCTCCTAGTCCCACCTATCTTGCTTCCCTATGGGCCAACAGTGCTTTATTCAACAGTCAATAAGATAAACAAATACACAGAAGAACATTCCCCATCACATAGGTCAGTTGTTCATAAATACATACAATTGCACACACTGTCAACATTCTCACTTGAACCAGAGGAAGGTTTTGCCAGTTCCAAGCCTGACCCACATGAAGAAGGCTTTGCCATTCCCATGGGTCCTTGGCATGGGTATTCATTCAATACTTCATCTGCTCTTTACACATTCCTTCTGGCTTCCTTGTCTCCTCACATCAACCCCTACTAAAGTCTTGTATCTGAATTCCTGATTCTCCTACTAAGTAACTTGTTTTTAATGAGCTAGCAATCAACAGTACTTAATGGGTAGGATAAAACTTATCTTTTAAGATTATTGCTATATTATTCACACGATAAAATCAATCTAATAAATTTAAAAAGGTGGCACATACTACATGAAAGGTTGCATTTATTCAATGTCCTTTTCACAATTATAAATAGAAAAGATGCAAAGGTTCCATCTTTTATTCACATTTTGGATACTCATATATTATGCTTAAAAATATATGGTCTAAAGGCAGAAAATTAGTGTTCAAATCTTGAGTCTGTTAGATAGAATCTGAGAGGTAGAAACCTGTTTGTACAACTGGAAAAGGTATACAAAACCCCCATAACAGCTTTCATAATAAAGCTTTGATTTAAAAAAAAAAGTCTTAACTGACAGACAATCATGAGATCTTCAAGCTGTTTAAAACAGGAATTAGACATAAGATGTGACAGCTGAATTTTGTTAACTATGTCTTCTGACATTAGAATGTCTCTTGGTTAAATGTCTTTTATGATGAAGATAAGTTGCTACCACTGTATCAGAACACGTGGTCCACTGCATTTTCCTACACGTGTGCAGTAATGAAGGGAGGATCTTTATCTTTTAAAGACCTTGGGTTCATTATGACTTCATTTATGTCATGGTTTGGATCTCTAATATGGGCTTTTAGAGAATTGTGAGAGGGCTGGAGAGATAGCTCGGCCGTTAGACAAAAATATAAGAGAATCATGGGAAAAATATTCTAAGGAGCAATCTGGCCCACCATGATTTGTGATAGGAAAAGAGTTACTCACTTTATCCTTGAGTATGCCACCTATCCCTTAAATATTCATAAAAGCTTCTTAAAATCCACAGGCAGAACCCACTGGGCTGTTAGCCCTCCTTTGGGGGAGCTTTCTCCAGTCTCTCTTTGGAGTGAAAACTTTGTTTTACTTTGTTAAATAAACTTCTTCTTAAAGTGTCTCTGCTCTCTACTGAATTGTTCACTTCAAGAAGACAAGAACCTAGAGACTCTGAAACAGATCCTTTACTATCTATATAACCTTGGCCAGATTATTTACTTTGTTAATGCTTTGCTACATTATCTGAAAATGACAGTGCCAATGATGGTGGTGATGTCTGCATACTTCTGGAATGGTTAGATAGCATTATGTATGCAAAATACCTAGATGTTATAATATTACCTATATATTACTTCAAATGTGGCTATATAACTCAGCCAATCAAATACTGAAATTTAGTTTAATAAATGCTGAGAAACATCTAGAGGCATAAGAATGTGGAACTGTTGTCACTCAAAGAACATTAAGTAGAAAATGGTGCTGTAGCAACTATTAGATTTATAGTAACCAATGGCACCTGAAAGAGCTGGAGTCTGAACTAAGTGTTCAAGATACCGGATTACTTTTTTTTCTTTTATCTCCAGATGTTCTTTATTAAATTACTTGGTAAATGATCATCTCAACAGGAAACCTTGACCATATTGGAATGCTGCAAATCAAAACCCAAATCCCAAGTTATCTACTTGTGAAAATGGAACAGCTTGAAGCCCTGAGTATCACAATAGCGAACTTGATTGAATTATTCCCTGGGCATAGGAACTAGACAGCCACTGAATGTCCCTCCACACGTCCACTGTTTTAATTCTTCTCAATAGGCTTGCTTTGACCAAATCATATGTTATCTAATTCATACTAATTTTCCATGAGGTCTTCTCTACATCTGGTGTACATTACTTTCATTATCCTAATTAGCTATTAATTATGCTTTCTCATAATATATGAAATGTGCAAGTGCTTTTGTCAGAAAACCACACTTTTTAACTTTATCTGCTCCACCTAAAGACAGAAGCTAAATAAAATATTAAAAATGTCTTAGAGTAACAGAATAATTATTTGGGAGGCTAAGTATTGGGAAATTTTCTTAAAAGTTTATATTTGAACTGACATGTGCTATTATATTAAAAATAATGAAAATTCAAAGCCACATTTTTGTGTGACTTTTCATAAAATAGTACCCACAAGGATGCAAATTAGCTCATGCCTAAAATTAGCCAAAGTCTGTATTCTTTCTCTTTCATAGAATTCTGTATGTCTGACTAACTTGAGAACTAAACTGTAGGTCCATATCCTCTTAATGCACTTAGCTACAAGAGGAAGTTTTTAAAGGGAGCTGGTCAAAACATAAAGTTAAATTTTATGTCAAGACATAAACATTTGAAGATATTTATTCATGGGCCCATTGTGCACATGAAGACTCAAAATATTTGAAGATAAGTCAGTACCTCTATCAGTCT